TGACAATAAAATAAGATTTTTATTCCAAGGAGAATAGTGATATAGATGGTAGTTTTTGATTAGGAATACTAATGGAGTAGTAATAATGAAAATAATAGAATAGTAATAATAATAGCAGTAACAGTAATAATAACAGAGTAGTACTAATTAAAATAATAGAATAGTATTAGTAAAAATAGAAGGATAGTACTTAATAGAAATAGAATAGTACTAGTTAAAATAGTAGGATAGTAAAAGTAATAGAGTAGTACTAGAAAAAATAGTAGAATAGTGAAAGTAATAGAGGAGAACTAGCAAAAATAGTAGAATAGTAATAGTAATAGAATAGTACTAGTAAAAATAGTAGGATAGTACTTGATAGAAATAGAAGAGTAATAATAACAGTAATAATTCCAAATAGTACAATTATCTTGGAGTTTTAATTTTGAAAAAATTTCGTTCAATCGAAGGTGTATTGATTTAATATATAATTGCAAATGAAACAATTGTTAAAGGCACTTCTATGAAATCGATGAATGTGTATTGTGAAACGACTGAGATTTATGCAAATTTTCCTTCTATGTTGATTTTAATTTAAAGCTCCAGGGTTTCGAGGACGAAAGTTGAAGGGTATCAATATTTCCCAAAGCCTAAGGAGCTTAAGGATTAAGAGAGAAAAGGATTTGACGGTTGAAAAACTTAAAAGCATCTTTGTGCATTGTGTTATCTCTGTAGATAATAAGTAAGAAACAATTGAAGAAATAATAGAATATAGGGTATACGTCAGAAAGAAATTTTCCAAACGACCGCATTACGTTTCATTGCACCAATAATAGTCAGACATTCAGATAAATAAAACTTATTACAATAATTATTGATAAACGGCACGCTTGCTTTGCAACCGATCCCCCTTCGCACGTGTTCCACTCGTTAGATCTTATCAAACGTTTTCCTTCCCTTCTTTGTCATTACATATACTGACCGTTCACGATACAAATAACCTTTGTGTTGACAATTACTTTTATGCAATTGAACTATACCATGTTAAGATATTCCCGGCAAGTGTATAGTTCGATTAAATAAAAGGCTATTTATTGCGTTTGCTCTTGTTCATTTTCTTAGTCACTCGATCGATCTTAGTCATTCTCTAATTAGTCAGTCAATGTTATCGGTTGTTACGATTGTTCCGAGAAATAATAAAAATAAGACATTTGTTTCAGGGAGAATAGTATTATAAATACTTGTTTTTGAAAGGAACCCTAATTGGATAATATAGTAGAAATAATAATATTAGAGTAGTAATAATAAAAGTAATAGAATAAGAATTATAATATTAATAGCAATAGAGTAGTAATAGTAAAAATAATAAAATATAAATAATAATATTAATAGTAATAGAGTAGTAATAGTAAAAATAATAAAATAGAAATAATAATATTAGCAGTAATAGAGTAGTAATAATAAAAGTGATAGAATAGAAATAATAACAGTAAAATAACAAAATAGTAATACTAATAGTAATAGTACAAATAATAAAATAGTGATACTAAAAGTAATAGTAAAATTTTTCAAACTGAATACTAATAGCATTACTCTAAGAAAATAAAACTTATCTCTGAATTTCTTTCTTTTATCCTACAGATCTTTTATTCTTTAACGTTTGATTATTTGCATAACGAAAATACTGTTGCTTTGTACAACTCACAGCTGAAAAGGGGGAAACATTATTTGAGAAAGAATATAGCTGTTTTCCTTACATTTTACCACTACAAAGGAATTCTACGAGAACGGAAACGAGTCGATACTTTTTATTAAAAGAAGTGTCCTTTTAACAGCGGAGATATGTACTCAACAGGTGGAAACAGGACGTTTCTTTTCAGCCATAGCTTATTTCTACATACAGTTAGAGAATTGCTTTTCCTCGAGAAAGGTGAAACTCTTTTAAACGGACAAACACTAAAGTTGTATTCGAAATTTACTTATCCAACAAGATAAATGAAATTTCACTTGGAGAATCGTTTGAAAGAATATTAACTGGAGGGAAAAGAGCATTACTTTAATTCGAGGAGATGAAATATGTATTTTAAAATCTGAAATAGAGTAACGTATACAGTTATCAACCCTTATATAACGATACCCTTTTCCAAAAAAAGTAGAAAATGCATTTCTTACATAACAAACTATAATTCTATTCGGAACAAAAAATATTCAGGCTAAGAAAGATAATTATATTTTATTATTTAACCCTTTAACTTAAAATTAAATGTATCATTATCAAACGAAAGAATTTCATATACTGGAACAGTGATTTTTAAAGAAACAGTGGAAAATTTAGAAAATAAAAATAATATGAAGTAGAGAATTAAATTAGAACTGTGGCTCTCTCCATGGTCCGCCGTCCGAGGGTTTAGAAATGCCTTATTATATTATATTTTTTACTTTTTTAGGAAAAGGGTAAATAACTGTATCACTCCAGAAATTTTTCCAACAAAATATTCGGAAATCTAAATTAATATTATCAGAATTATTGTCGCAATATGAAAAGTTTATTCGCGAATAGTTTACTCGATTTAATATCCAAAATATTCATCGTTAGTTGGATGAGCACGTACATAGGTAGATACAAAACGCTTGATATTTCAGAGAAATATTCGTATCACGAATGTTCGATTACGTCACACTTTGATATCGTTCATATAGATTTATGCGAGCAATGACGTCAGTTCGTATATCGTGACTGGAATACGTTTCGGAACGAAATCATACGAATTTTAAGGATACCCTCTAGGACAGTCGTATTCCATCTATGGGACACCTTTATCCTCAAAGAACGAAAAAGTATTATATCCTCTTTTGCTTTCCTCCCGAATCAAATTCGAAATAATAATAAAAGAATAATAAATAATATTCCACGTATTACAATCTAAAGTGGGACAATTAATCCCTAATTATTACCTGAAATATTCTCCTCAAATTAGCATCGATCGATGATAATTAATATTCAAAAGGACATAAAGCATGGAGGATCAGTTTGAATTAATGAAGATCGACGATAATTAGTTTCCTACAATTAGTAATTAAAGGAAGTTTAATTTTACAAATGGTAATTCGAAAGGGTCATAAAATTCGATTGCGTTAGTAGATGACCATAATTAGCTTTCTACAGATGATAATACGATAGATTTCAGTCGATGAAGTCATCTGTTCTACAGAATTAATAAATAAATCATTTTCTTCGTAGAATTAATAAACAAAATGCTGTGCAGAACAGTGAATTAAAGGATTGCATAATTATCTACTGATGCACGTGACAAATTAATGCAACACGAAAGCAGAATAATTTCTTTTAATAAAATAAATTTTCAAATTCATAATTTGGTATAAAAAAAATGTAATAAAATGGAGTAAATTTAAGACTGCAACGAACAGAAAATTCCAAAATTTGTTACATGTTAAATTAAATAAAATACAGTTCAAAAGGTTGAATGATTCGATCAATTTTTAATTCGAATTATAATAGAAAATTGTAAAATTCAAACAAGGTAAGTTAAACATTGAAAATTAATTAAGGATAGAAGTACTATTATTAGTTAATTAAAAAAAAAAAAGAATGTAATGATGTAACGAGAGCAATGTAAACGATGCTCGTGTACTCAGTAACTTGCAACATATCAGAAGTGATGATATCCGATACGCGATGAAAATTTCCGTGTTCCAGGACTGTTACTTGATCAATATAAATTGCTGACTGAAAATGTCGCGACATATTACGTAAAGCTGCACTATTTACAGGACGAAATATGCACATGCAGCATTTTCGAGTCTCTCGTTAAACAGAGACCATCGAATTACAGATGATGTTTCCCCGAATAAAATGGAATTAATCCTTCGTAGTTCGGATCGTTTACGGTATTAAATGAAATTGAACCTTCCCTTGAATTTCGATTCTTAAAACGTTTTAAACATTGTATAAAATATTTTGATAAATAGCTTAGAATTTTATTAAACTTTTTTGGAAAAGGAACGATACGAACAACCCAGTTTTTCTGTAAAAAATTAAGTCAGGATAAAACGACGAAACGAATCATAAAGGGAACTGAATTGAAAAGCATTTAAATTTCCTCTTTTTTCATCCACCACGCTGGACAACTTTTCGTTTATCCATAAATGCGACTGACAAATTGAATTCCAATTTCTTTTTATATATGAAGCCATTAATCAGGACAAACCTGTTGCTTCCGAATGAAAAAATAAATATAAAGACAATAACGATAAATTCAATTGGTGGAACTTTTACTTTGTTTCAAGGGATGGAAAAATGGATTGTGTTAAATGGGAAATATCTTTAAAATTTTGCAAAAATAAATAGGGGAAGGTATAGTTGGTTGCAATGAAGATTTTTTGATTTGCTTTTAATTTGGAGTTTTAAGGAAAACCTGGGGAGAACCTAGGGAGAATTTGAAGATAACTGTAGGAGAATCTAAAGAGAACTTAGGAAGTACTATGGGGGAATCTAGGGAAAACTTAGGGAGAACTTAGGGGGGACCTAGGGAGAATTTAAAGATAACTTTGGGGGAACTTAGGGAGAACCTACAGATAACCCTGGGGAAATCTAGAGAAAAGCTAAGGGGAAGCTAGGGAAAACTTAAAAATAACTCTGGTGGAACCTAATGATAACCTAGATAAATCCTAGGGGGACCTTAGGGAGAACTCTTGGCAAATCTAAAGAGAAGTTAGGAGGAACCTATGCAGAGCCTAGAGAGAACTTAGGGAACCCTAACACAGAACTTCCTCTCTTCGTAAATAAACGTTACCGCATTTTTCTTCAAGAAGGATCATTCCCTTTATTATACTAGGAAATATAATACACCTTACAATACAGCTTATAATAAATATAGTACAGTTGTTCCAATAATCGGTTCCCCTATAAGGGACATTTCCAACCACCCTAAGAATCCATTATTCCACAAAATATAGAGAAACGCGTACGTGCCAAAATGAAGAAAAAGGGGAGACTGTACCTTGGATCACTTTAAATTGCTCATACTTCTTTAGAGATCCTCTGGTCAAAACATTTGATAAGCTTTTGTTTTATAATTTTTTAATGTAAACCACAGATGGTTTTATTTATTTTTAGATTAGTTTCCTTATAATGAATAAACTTTAAGCTTCGATTATGCTACCACTTCGTTACTTTTTCATGTGCAGTTTATTTTGAAACAGTTCGTTTCTTCAAACAGCGATCGTGGACTTCGTCCATTCATAGTCATTTGTTTGTTTGTAACGTTGGCCGATAGTGGAAGGACCCCGGTTAAGTTCGATTAACGATCGTCTTGTTCCAATTAACAACCGCTTATCAGAAATCAACTGCATTTTGTTAAAATAGAAACAATGTGACGGAAATTCGCGTGGATAAATTCAGAAAATTGAATTTTTTTCAAATTTTGAATAAAACTTTTCTAAACAAAAAGAGATGAAATGAAAAGTAAATAAAACACTTTACTTGTTCTTGTATCATGAAAGTTATAGAGGAACTGCAATTTCTGCTGATTGCATTAAAAGAATAAGTATGTTCGATAAGATTTTTCCTCGAATCAAGGATAACCAGCGCAACGATGCGACATTTTCTCGAAGTTTGCACTGTATTGTTTGCGATTCGTTAATCAATCGGAAGAAACGATGAATCGGATAGGAATATATTGAAATGGAGAAGAATAAAAATCGGGTCGGCATTTTCCTTTGCCGATAAGTCTGACACAACGCGACGATTGTTTAGCAATCTTTGTTTAACAAAGCTTCATCGTTCCCAAGTTTAATTGTTGTTCGATCGTAGATGACAATGGTATTTATTTGCAGATAGAGGAAAAAGAAGAAAGAACATTTTTTTATAAATTCCATACGTAGTGATATAAAAATATTGGAATATTCTATTTTATTTAAAAAATGATATAGCAAAATCGTAAAAGCTAGCCATGAAAGTTTCTTTTATTTATTCTGTTTGTTAATTAATCTTTTAGTGTCAACCGTATTATCTGCTGTTACCTAACAGCATCGTAATGTTGCTACAATGTTTACAAGAATTCATAACTTTTGGAAGATAACGCACAACGAGGTTAAAAGGAAAGCGAGAATACGAATTTAGCGAAAAATAGCACGCGTTAGAATTTATCTACGCAAGAAAATTAAAAAAGTAATAGAAAAATTGTAGATCCTAACAATCTTTAGCTGTAACAACTGTAGAAGCATTCGTAAAGTGTACAGACATTGGAAATATATCCTTGCTTACAATACTCTGGAAACACCACAGTGTCCCTTTTCTTTCGTCCTTTTAAAGTTGACACAAGGATAACCGAGTTACTATGTGGACGCGTATAAAGTAATCAAAGGTACAAAGGAGGAGCACCTTGTTTGTTTTGTCCTCCTCTCGAAAACACACAGGACCTGTAACAGGATTTTGAACGATACATCCCATGCAATCCTTTGATCTCCAAAACAAGCTGCACGCTATGAACATCCACATGGGTGGCAGCACGTTCGACCTCCCATGGAAGGATTATCAAACTTAACATCTAGTAGAATTCGAGAAGTTTTTGGACTAAACAATGTTATGAAATGACATATTTAGGAACCTGTACTTTTGATTAAATGACCTTCTGGTGAAAAGGATTGATTTTTTTTGAAGAAAATTAATTCTAAAGGAGGATGCCCCATTATACCCAAGATCCAATATCGAAATTTAAATAATTCTGAATCTAAATAATTTCTATGAGAATGATTTTCATTGGAAATTATATCTGGGTGTCTGTATCCTTGATTTAATGATGTTTTAGTAAAGAAGGTTGATTTTTCCCAAAGAAATTTAATTCCAAAGGAAGATGCCCCGTCAGATTCAAGATCCAAGATCAAAATTTGAATAATTCTGAATCTAAATAATTTCTATGAGAATAATTTTAATTGGAAATAATATCTAGAAACCTGTACTATCGATTAAATGATCTTTTAGCGAAAAGGATTGATTTTTTCCAAAGAAATTTAATTCTAAAGGGGCACACCCTATCAGACTCAAGACCCCCCATAGAAATTTGAACTATTCTTGATCCAAATAATATCTACGAGAATAATTTTCATTGGAAATGATATCTAGGAACCTGTACCCTCAATTAAATAACATTTTAACAAAAAGGGTTGATTTTTCCCAAAGAAATTTGAACAATTCTTGATCCAAATAATTTCTATGAGAATGATTTTCATTGGAAATGATATCTAGAAACCTATATTCTTGATTAAATAATATTTTAACAAAAAGGGTTGATTTTTCCCAAAGAAATTTAATTTCAAAAGAGACCACCCCATGATATTCGAGACCCACCATAGAAATTTGAATAATTCTTGATTCAAATAATTTCTATGGGAATGATTTTCATTAGAAATGATATCTAGAAACCTATATTCTTGATTAAATAATATTTTAACAAAGAAGATTGATTTTTCTCAAAGAAATTTAATTTCAAAAGAGAACACCCCATGATATTCGAGACCTACCATAGAAATTTGAATAATTCTTTATCCAAATAATATCTACGAGAATAATTTTCATTGGAAATGATATCTAAGAACCTGTACCCTCAATTAAATAACATTTTTCAAGAAGAAAATAATTTTTTCCAAAGAAATCCAACGAAGAGCGAACCAAGTATGGTCGCTTCGCTATGCCTGGACTCTCGACTCGATGATTTTTTACTTTTTCCATGGAGCAACGGTCACGGTGTTATCGCGACCGTGCTGCTTGGCTACAAGACTCGTCGATGACGTTCTGGTCGAATATCGCTGCTTCCATTGATTTTCATATTCCATCGTGCCCGCCTACTACGTAAACACCCACTTGCGACACCAATGTTTGGGAACACGGTTGTTTCGTGTCGAAGCGAAAAATGAATGGCCATCTGTTAATTTATCTATCGATATGCGTTCCCGATTAGACAAAACAATTATTTTCGTTTGTATTTACCGACCATTCAATGGCGAATCTGCTAAACAGGCGTTATCAAAACAATATTCTGAATAACAGCGAGGGTCGAGTCGGGACGAGATGCGGCACACGATCCGTTTCCGGTACGGACCCCCTATCCGCTAGCCGGAATATGTTAATAACGCGTCGACCGGCTAAGGAATCCACCGACCGTACACGGTACCATTTCTTGAATGGGCTATAAAAAATGGACCGTATATCATCCAATTTAAACAGATACCGCTATGTAATATTTTTCCTCATACAAAAAGTCACCAAGTGATATCACGATGTGTTTGCCAGTTAAAGTCCGTGTTACTTTCCACACTGCACTAGTCGCCATTGTAAACAGATGATTAATCCATTGCCGTACAATTTTCCATTCAAATCTCTCTTATCTGACTCGACCAATTCGTCGTGATTGTCGCGACTAATTGCGGGAACTGATTTTCAATTGTTCCTCGAGATAACACGTTGTATCCTAAGACAATACCAGATGACATATCACTTCTTCAATTCAGAAGGAAAAGAAAAGAATGTATTTTTCAGGACTTATCTACGCATGTTTTATTTATTGTTATTTTATGAAATATGTAGTTTCGTGCAAAATGAATGTTGTACTGATAAGAGATATCGATATGCTCCTTCAAATTATAATTAGTATGAATGGATACCAAGTGTCAGGCATGTGATGTTAATAAACAAATGAGATAAAGTGTAAATCGGTGGGGGATTTGTAATGCATAAACACTTTTGATATCTAAACGGATATGATAATTCATTAGAAATCCGAGGTTATCAAGAGCTATAGTTTTGCTTTGGTCGCGTGTACAAGGTATTTTTAAATTTATAGTTTCCTTTAGCAACTGCAACCGAGACCTCTGTGTTTCAATCACGTTTCAAAGTGTCAAATAAATAAGAAAACATGAAGATAAAGTGTATAAATTAATACAGTAATTTTTATACTTTAAAATAAGATAGAGGAATTTTTTTTTTTATTTTATAATGAATGAGAGCAAGGTAGCTTCGCCCAGAAAATGTACAACTCGTGAGCGAAAGCCCACTTACTAACAAAAGAAAGTATGGTGGCATTACCTACATGAAATAATGATTGAGGATGAAATTTTCACAGAAAAATAAATAAGATAGAGGAAAGTTCTAATGTTAAGAAACTTAACCCTCGGCGGACCATGGAGAGCGCCCCAACTTTAATTTAATTTCAATCTATTTTCACAAGGAATTTTAAATTATTCATACTCCACAAAGTTTAATGAGAAATTAATTTCGATGGAGTTCCCCTTTATAATTTTCTAAATATTTACTTTACCTAAAAAAAAAAAAGAGGTCAATTCGAAATTATCAGAATACTTTAAAACACGAACCTAGCCTCTCAAGCTTCGGACTAATCTATTTTTTTTCCGGTATGCAGTAATTAAAGCGTCACGGTTCGAGCGAAGCCACGAAGGAAAAAAAAGGAGAAACAGCACGGAAGAGGAAAAAAAAATCGCTTGGCCCGATAAGCCGCGTAGAGAAATAAAAGACGGATCATGATTGCACGCGACACAGGAGCGCCATAAATCGATTTATCTTTAATTCTCGACTAAAAACTACGAAATTCGGTATATTGCGTCTCTTTAAAAAATAATCCCGAATTATATCGACCTCGCAATTCAGAGCTGGAGCTTCCGGGAATCCTCTTTTTTCCGGAACTTTAACTTGCCTCTCCATCATGTCTATGTTATCGTTTTAATTCCTCGGAAGAATGAAAAACATAGTGAAACATAATCAAAGTTAAATCAACTTCCTTTTCTCTCTCTTCTGAGCATAATTGAGAATAAAAATGATAAATGATAAAACTGAAACGCTATGGACTATTAACATTTACCATCTTTACTAATTTAGAAATGAAAATGAACATTTATTAAAATATTAATTAATAATCATGCGATTGACTTACTTTCAAGTTTAAGCTTTCAATTTTGCATCATATATTATTAGTACAATAGCAATTCCACCTGATTTATTTATTTCCTTCCCTTTTATCATTTTTTCAATCACGTCACATTTGAAGAATGGCAATCAACGTGGTAAATTAATTTTGTTTTTCATTATTTTTTGGAGCTTTCTAACTGTATATAAAATTTTGAGAAAATCCATGAATTAGCCAACAGCTAAAATAAATTATATTTCAGCATCGTATTCCTCGAAAGATTCGCTTTCATTTCTTATCATTTCGGCACTTACATCGGTCACCATTTGAACTCTTCAATTAATGAAATCATCAATTGGACGAATGCAAGGAACGAAGAAGAGATAATTAATGAAAATATCAAGAAAAATTGTAATTGATCGATCGAGAGGAATAACGAGAAGCAGAAATGTATGGCGAAGGAAGAGATTGAATTTTATTCGAGTTCATTAGACATTCATTGTACGGTGAACGCACGGAAAACGAGCTGTTTCAAGAGAAATGATAATACTCACTATCGGTGCTACAATTAATCACGCAGCTTGAAATAAATCGGTTGTCCGTGGACAACTGTAACGCCATTCAGCTCGACAGAATGTTTCTAACCGCATCAATTATTTACTACGAGACTTGAACTAAGTGAAGCATAGAAATGAAATTTTCTTTCTAAATTTCCAAAATCAGGAATAGAAGAATTTTCTAAGAAAAAAAATTTCAAAAAATCAACAGGGACTTTTATAAGATATAATCGTTTACAGGACCGAAGAAGAAATACTCTTAGCGAAAGACAGGATAAATACAAGTTAGGTGCTTTCTTTCCCCATCTTTTTTCCAGTTCATTTAAGTAGCAACGCACCGTGAATATCTTTCTGCTGGAAAAGGAAGAGAGAATGGAAACAGTTAAACAGAGTCGCTGGTAAATTAAATTAATTAAAGTCGAATTGTGTGAAAAGGTTCGTTTGCTGGGCGAAAGTTAACGAGGTTCCTTCGACAATTCCCTGCCTTTTCCAGCCCATTGCAATGCAATTACACGTTCGAAGTTGGATGGAACTCGCTAGAGAATTGTCACCTTACAACATTTTGGTTAGTTTCGTGGGGGAAAAAAAAAACAGAGAAAAAAGAAGAGTCGTACACGAAAGCAGCATTACAGGAAACGTCGTTACGTCAAGGGAAAAGGTCAAAGAAAATATATGTTGCTCTACGGGTCAGTGTCATGTCAGTGGACTGTGAAATTAAACAATTGCACGTGCTCTGGCTATAATTGGACACGGTAAAAATAGAGTAAATTTGAAAGAAAATTTATCGTTGATACAATATTACATTAATTAGTAAGGTAGTAAGAGGGGAATTTATGTTGCAAAATGGCACTGTTATATTCTTAAAATTTTTTAATTACTAATTAGGTAATTAAAAAGTTCCTGAAAATATAGATGATGGATTTATACACGAAATTCAAGTGCCTCTTAGATATTAATTCTGTGATTTTGGAAATTTCTGAATGCCAAATTTCTATTATACAAGATTTCAAGTGCTCTAATTAGATGATTAGGTAATTAAAAGAATTCCTAATGATATGGGTGGTGGACTTTTAACAAAATTCAAGTGGACCCCAAATTTTAATTAAAAATTTCAAGTATCCTAGATAGGTAATTAAAGAATGAAGAAAAGTAATTAGGCAATTAAAATAATTCCTATTAATATGAGCACTGATCTTCATAAAATTCATGTGCTAAATATTAATTCTCCAATTTTTGAAAATTCCTATTATCAAATTTGCGAGTACCCATATTAAGTAATTAAAAAATAAGGCAAAGTAATTAAGTAATTAACAGAATTCCTATTAATATGAGCAATGGACCTTCATAAAATTCAAGTGCCAAATATTAATTCTCCAATTTTTGAAAATTCCTATTATCAAACTTGCAAGTATCCAAATTAATTAATTAAAAAATAAGGCAAAGTAATTAAGTAATTAACAGAATTCCTATTAATATGAGCAATGGACCTTTATAAAATTCAAGTGCCAAATATTAATTCTCCAATTTTTGAAAATTCTTATTATCAAATTTGCAAGTACCCAAATTAATTAATTAAAAAATAAGACTAACTAATTAAGTAATTAAAAGAATTCCTATCAATATAAATATTGGACCTTTACAAAAATCCAAATACCCCCCAAATCTAATGTTATTTCTTTTCCTTCGAACAAAAGCGTGAACAGCAAGTGCTCGTAATCAAAATCACGAGCAAACCGGTGACGAATGAATGACGAACGAAACGAGCCAAGTATCTTTGAATCGGGAAAGGTATCTCGGTAATCAGCTGGTAGGTAAACGTTCAAGGAGAGTTCCTGGATGGTCCGCGTACCCTGATTGTCTCGTTGTTTCCCTCTGTTCTTTTCTATGGCTCGCGATCTGTCTCGTTATCTCAGCGTCAGCGTGATGAATAGAGTACACAAGAACCGTATGCCAATGTCCAGCAGCCATGGGGACAGGCTGATGACGAGTCGAAAGAGGGGGTCCACGAGAGCATAAAAGCAGCCACGAAGAAAAGCATCGGTGCTTTTGTGGTGTTTCTCTCGTGGTCGCATCGTGTTCCAGCTGATATTATAATTTATTGTGCGGCAAGTGTTTAAGAAAACCCAAGACTTCTGGCTATAAGGGGTCGCCATGGGGCATCCACCTCGACTGTCGAGGACCACCCTCGCCTGTCTATTACTTTTATTCGTCACCGTTGAATCAGCCAGTAAGTACTTTCTTACTTTATATTAAAAAAATAAAAACAGTGACGAGTCATTCACGGTTCCACGTGAATTACATTTGACCCAGAAACAAATGGGATACATGGGTCCAAAATATTTCTCATCTTCTGTCGAGAAGAAAAATATTCGTTCGAGGATTTGATGCTAGGAAAAATGAAATGTCATCTTTCTACGAGACAAACGATAAGAGGATAAATGGTTAAAGGAATGACAGATTTGCGTCACCGGAAGTTTCTAATGGTTTTCACGTCAAAAGGAAAGGAACAACGTTTCCTCTTACGTTTCATAGATGAAATACAAAAAAGAAAACACACATCTCGCTATTTTAAAGCATTAAAGCTTCTTCTTCTCGGGCTAGATTATTTTTTGCAAAGTGAAATAAATAAAGAAATAATAACGTGTCTACGAACAAAAAGTCCAAGAGGTCGTTTTATACATTTTTTACATGGCCGACCTTTTTTCATTTCTGTGAACCTTCGAGAGGGATAAACTGTGTCTTATTCGGGAAAAATATTTTTTTTTTTTTTCGTGGGGGAAAAAAGGAACTGAAGGACAGAATATTCTTATTCTCTGGAGACACTTGCGGTGTTCGCGTGTATTAGGGTAATAGTATAATAAAATTTCGTGGAATTCAGATATACCCAGTATTTCTTTCTCTTATGTAAAGTAGTTTTAATTAAAATAAAAATCGTTTCGTTCAAAAGATAAAAAATCGAAGAGAAGACAATTTTTCGATCATCCAATTATAACAGTTGCGAAATAATTTGCGAAAAGTTTCGTAACTTTTATCTCCTTCGAAGATTAAAAACATTTGGAAACTTCTTCTGATTCTCTTTAACAAAAGTGAAAGAATAGAATTTTAATTGAAAAAAGATCTAAAAATTTTCTGACCATCAATAATTATATCGATAATTAAAATCAAAATTAATTAATTACGAAACTGTTATCGAAATTTCTGAAACAATTTACATACACTGGGTCAAAATCACCCCCGATTCCTGATAGAAGGATTTCAGTGAAGGGGTTGACAAATTCTTTTTTAATTAAAATAAGAAGTCTCGCGGTGACGATACAACGAAGAAAACTTGCCGCTCGATTTTGAAAGTTTCTAAGCCGTCAACGCGAAGGAAATATATTTTTAACGGGCTGATAAATTCAATTTTCCACGGGAAAAGCATCGAGCAACCACAATGGGGCGAGAAGTAACCCCACGCAGCAACAAATTTTCCTTCAAGTTTCTTCAGCCTGTGTAAAATGCATGGAACTACCCCTTTCGCAGTCTCCCAGGGATTCTGTGTGTGGACCGAGTAAATAACTTCCACCCCCGCAGATACGTACGCCGTAGAAAAATTTTCGTATATCGCTTCTTCGAGACTCTATCAAGAGGTCAATGCTGAGATACCTTCTATTCGTTGTCAATTGAAAAAAAAAAAAAAAGGCGGAATGTTTATTAACACTTTGACAGCCATCGTGTATTTGTGACTCTGATATGATTTTTTTTTGTTACAATATCCTGAAATTTATTTCTGTTTAATCTATTATATAATAATTCCATATTAAAAGCTCGATAATTCAGTGACGTTAATTGTGAAAATTCTTTGATATAATTCATTTCAGTAATCTGTTTATAAATAATAAAAATAAAATAACGTGAGCCTTCATTTCATACGGTATCTTGTTTGATTATTGAAATAAAAAGTATGAAACATTGATAAAAGGAAATATAAAGTCATTGATTCCATAAATTATGCGAGTTACAAAAGTGTTTTAATATAAATTGTTGCACATCAACGTGGTTTATTTCGAAATGCAAAAAAAAACTCTGACACGATTTGATAATATAAAAGTATCGTAAAATGAGGCTTATGTCACATCGATTTTTTGCTTAAATCTCGTTGAAAATAATTACACGAATTATTTGTTGATGTTTTTAACAGAAAATTGCTGATGGTCAATTATAACTAACAATAGTCCAGAATGAGATTCGTGTATTGTGTTGCATTTCAAGATTTCAATCAGGGATATTTCGTAACAGGAGGTTACTGATAATTTAATTAGGATATTACAGAAATAATACGAAGTTGATTTAAGAAATTTCAATTTCGACTAATCAAATGTGTACCTACAATATTTCAGGATTTCTTGATTTTTAAAAATAGAGATTTATTTGAGACACGTTTTGATCGATAAATATTATTTCTCATTGAAATATAGCTACTGAACATTCTGGGAATTTGAAAGAAATTTATATTTAACAATTTATGCTTTTCGATCTTTATGTTAATATTTTCTCTAGAAATTTTTCTAATGAGAATATTTTAGTTATATTTTCTCTTTTAAACATAGCTTATGCCTGAATGCTTTGAATAATAATAGTAATAGTAATAGTGATAGTAAAAATAATAGAATACTAATAACAACAGTAGTAGTAGCAATAGTAATAGAAACAGGAATCGAGTAATGATAGTAAATATAATAGAATAGTAATAATAATAGTAAAATGATAAATTGGTAAAATGGTAAATTGCAATTTTTCCTAAAACTTCCAAATATTTTTCACAAAGAATTTATCAGGAAAGCGCACACTTGTTGCAAAACGAGAATTCTCGTTTCCCGATGCGAATGGGTTGATAAAAATTTCTTCTTTTCTACCAACGTGTACCTCGTCGTTTGTTCAAACGAGCAGTACAAACGAATTCGACGGATTATTATCGTTCATTTAACGCGAATTTCTCGCTCAACAACAGTGTGCATGATAGAAAGGGTCAACGAGCCCGGGTCTGGATGGTTCTTCGTGTCAAAAGGTTATTCCTCGTGTCAAGGATGAAGAGATTAGACGACGCGACGGACGGATGTCGAAATCAGAGATTAATTCCTCATGATACGATTGGCAGCGATTGTTACTAAAAAATTTCTCCCAATTAATTTTTCCTCTCTTTTCTTCATTCTTTAACGCGCGACATTATTTCAAGTTCAAAGCTTGAATTATAATTACTTATCCCTTGAAGAGCGAAGCCTGGGGTCAATCTTGACCCGAATTTACAGAAAATATACAAGGATATTAACCTAAGGTTAAATGTATAAATTTAAGAAGAAAGAATTTCATATTTCGGAGGAATAATTTTTAAAGGAATAGATGAAACATAAAATTGAATTAAAATTGGGGCTCTCTCCATGGTCCGCCGTCCGAACGGATGCACAAGAGAGTATAATTCTAAAAGCAGCAGAAGATAGCTGCTCGATTCGTTGACGATTATCTTTGACCCTCGTTAACTCGCGATTTGTTTCTTCCTTGGATACACAGTACGAATCATTGAGATCACATGTGAACTTTGTAATCTAATTCCTTCTTGGAAAGAAAAGTAGAAACGCAAGTAAACAGCTAGTGTTTCATACGAAGAAAATAGATAATTCAGGAATGACAGAATAAATTTGTTAAAAAACACCCCTGCAATATTTTTTAACAAAGCTTATTTGTTTCGAATAAAAAGAAATTCCTTTATTTAAAGATATATTATAATTTTTAACATTTCTTTTTCTGGTTTAGTTAGATTTTAAAATTCTAAATTAAATTGTTCTTATGACATTTAATACACAATCGTGTTCCGTGTAAACGTTCGTCTGGCAAACATTAAGAGATCATTAGAGAACATCAAGGAGGAAAAAATAAACTGTTCCAGTGTGTTTTCGCTCAGTCATGAATCATCAACGTTGCGTGTTCGTTATCTTCAACCCCCCCGTTGGTCAGAAAACAGTGCATAAACCAATTTATCAGATGGTAGTATCGGAAATGAAGTCAATAATTCCCAGTCGTAGCTCTAAAATAACGGCTAACTTGTGTTTAATTAACCCTTCGTGGATAATTGCATGGAATAACGAGCATACTGCATTTGACTATTATTACTAAACGAATTACAATGCTACTAATTGCTCTTTAATAATTAAAAGAGGATTCGTTGGATTTATAAAATAATAATCAAACATTATTTATTACGTTAAGAAAATTGATAAAGAAGAAGAAATCTAGAAATTATTTTCTTCTAAGCTATTGAATTTTTTTTCCAAAAAAGAATTGCTCATTTTTTGAAACAATCAAGTTTGAATTTCTTGCAAAAGAAAAAGAGGAATCGGTATAACAAAATTTTCAATGAATTTCTAAGTAGAACAATAATTTCCAAGGCCGCCTACATTTTCTGTCTCGCGAAGAAAATGAAAAAGAAGAAAGTATAGCCTCGATTTTGAATGAATTTTACGAAGGTCCACATAAAAAATTACTAGGAAATGGGTTGAATCTCAAAGGACCCATGTAACTCGATTCGCGTTCGATAAGAGCCGAAGGTTATCGTTTATTCGAAAAATAAACAATTTTCTCCAAAATTGAAGGAATAAAAATTTGTTCGATAGTAAAACTGTTACGACGGAACAACGAGATCAATGATCCACCGAGACTTCCTCCACTTTGCAGGCACCCATTGTCGACGGAGTTAGATGGACGATGATGGACAATGATTAGCTCGCGAGTTCTACGAATCATTATAAACCATCAGTCTCCGTTATTGTTGTCCCACTTCCGCGAGCTAGACGCAATGTTTAGAACTCATTCGTAGTATCAAAATAATGCAACGATAACTAAAATATTTTTGCAAAACTACTTCCTTTCTTTAATTGAACCAATTAACCGCGAAGAGCATTAAAAGGAAATATTTCACAGCGCGATATTTCTGGAATTAGAATTTTGCATAGTTGAAATATTTTTTGACATATTGCTGAGGAAAGGGTTGCAGCCGACTGCAGGGGTGGAAATTTGTCAAGCTTCCAAACTTTCAGTTGGAAGGGAAAAGGAAGATAAAAATGTATCATTTCCACAGGCTACTGTTATAAACATTTTCATAGTATTTGGCCTTTTATTTTAAGTTTTAATATTTTCAAATTTAAATAGCACGAAAATATGATAATAAGAATTATTTAAATAATTGGAGCTGTCGTGACTTTAAAAAAATAAAAGGCACAGAATTAATTTGCACGCCTCTCGCAGTCAAAGGGTAAAATAAAATAGAAAAAGAGAAAATTTCATGAATTTCTTTGAATAATTATTCCAGCTCCTAAAAAATTTAAAATGAATTTCACTGAACAGCTATCTCATATTTTCTTCTTTTCCCTTCGAAGCTGCGCAAGACGGTGTGCAGATGAAATTCGAGTTAATCAGAATTTCATTTTCCTCCTACGAGGTGTAGCTGTGGAAAATTAGAAAGATCAGTTTCGAAGCAATTCCAGATAAAAATTGAACGCTATTGTTTGAACGCCGGTCGAGATTAGCCTAGCTTACCCATGTTGATCCTACAAGATTTATCGTTGAACAATGAAAATACTCTTCTTATCGCTCGTTAGGGGCAGATACACTTAGAATCACTTGGTAAACAATGTTCGTTCATCTGTCATGTATCGCTAACTTCGTTGCACACGATATCCAAGTTCAGGGAAATTCTGGTAAAGGGTTTTTCTTTTTCGATAACAGGAATCTTCTCAAATTTAAAATCGCAGTTAAGAATATTACACTCGATTTTCTACCTTCTATTATTACCCAAAGAAATATTTAACACTGAAATACTAAACGCAAGACCGAGGGTTCCTTGGGAAAATGAACATTTAATTTATGGGACACTAGGGGTTGCAAAAGTTTTCGACATCGAGCAAACGAAAAAATATACAGCATTACAGGACATTACATAGATCCTTGTTTGTTTAATTCAATGTTATAGTGTGATAAAAAAAAAACTCTGCTTCTAAATATACTTCTAACCCTTGAAAGGCAGAGCTTGGGTCAATCGTGACCCAAAGTTAAATATATAATTTCTAAACGAAGGAATTTTATATATTAAGAAAAAATAATTTTTAAAGGACTACTGTAAAAATTAAAAAATTAAAATAGTTATATGATATGCGAAATTAAATTAGAATCGGGGATCTCTCCATGGTCCGCCGTTTTGGGACACTCCATAATTCGCCGTCTAAGGGTTAAAGACGATAAAATGTATAATCTTTATTACACGAAGAAATTATTCCTTTTTAATTAACGTCTACACGAACTTGGAGCAAAGTTTCTTTCGTTTCCATCGTTTTCAAAGGAATCATTAAAGAACAACAAGGAAATCAACTGAAACGTTGAATAATTGCCGAAGAGCAACGCGAACAAGCGGGGAAAATGAATTTTCAATGGAACTACAGACAAGTAACAAATCTGGGATAATTAGTGCCGTGATAAACGAACGTGCACCCGTGTAGTTTTCCACGCGATCAGCACGCAAAAAGCTCGCTGCTCGAAACAATGCATCACGGTGAAATATAAGCTTTGCTTTCGAACGACTATAATTCCGGTAATGAAGACATATCGCAGGGAATAGGGAATCGATAATGCGGCCAGCCTCGAAAATGATAACCCCAAGTAGATTTCATATACGGATGAATATAAATGGTTACTCCTATGGAGATTGAAGAAACTTTACGTTAAAATTTTATTATTCCTTGAAACGACATTAAAATTACTCGAAATTCTTTTCGTCCCTTTAATACACGTATATCTTATGGTACATAACCAGCTGGAACAAGGTCTGTATCATTGAAATGATTACAGGTCCCCCATGTTAAACCGGACATTTGGTAAATTGATCTAACGTCCCTACTTCCCAATAAAATAGATCAGATACGATACTCTGGTCGTTGCATATATTTTTTTGCTCCCAATTTTCAGATTTTGAATATCAAACTTCAAATAAAAGATTCGTATTGAGGCAGAGAATTTGAAAATTGAAAATGAAATTTCTTAAAGAACCAGAAGTGTTAGAATAAAACAATTGCAAATTTCTAATTAATACAAAAAATTTGGAATATCAAACTTCAAGTACAAAATTAGCATTAAGGCAGAGAACTTTTCTAAAGTTAAGAAAATTAAATTTCTCAAAGAACTAGAAGGGTTAGAATAAAACAATTGCAAATTTCTAATTAATACAAAAAATTTGGAATATCAAACTTCAAGTACAAAATTAGCATTAAGACAGAGAACTTTTTTAAAGTTAAGAAAATTAAATTTCTCAAAGAACTAGAAGGGTTAGAATAAAGAAATTGCAAATTTCTATTTGGTACAAAAAGATGTGAAAAATAACATTTTAGATACTTTTATGCTCTATCAATGATACAGCTGTGAACAGATTTATCTGATTCTTAAATTTCATCGCAGTGACATTTTCGATGCAATCGTCAAGAAATTCGTGAAACGAGTGAAATTTCAAACGAGATTGTGATTTTCACGTGTAACCCTGCACCGATTACGCGTCGCGACGCTGCAGCGAATCTCTGATAATCGGATAATGGAAGGGTGGAGATGCTAGAATTGCGGTCGAAGCTATTAATTTCTCGCTTCATCCTGCAATCCCTTGAATCTGTGTTACTCCATTGTTAACGAGACACTTTGAAGGATTGCAGGAAATGGAATTTATCAACACTGAAGATCGTTCTAATAATAAATAAGAAAGCAAATGAGAAATTCGTAAAATTTCCAAACTATTCTCTGTAATTCTATTTTCATACAAAACTGAGAGATAATTATTATTGAAGGAAAAAAAATTTTATTTGCCAATTTTCTGCCTTTTTTTACCGTTTGGACGATGCCTTGAAATCGGTAATAATTTCAATTTCCTACGACCAGCGATCACCATTCTGGGTAAATCCAATCTGGATCCAGTAAAACGGAAAAATGGCAAAAGCGTACGTGACAGGAAATACATCGAATTCCCGGCGACTCTTTTATTATAATTTATCATGACCTTTCTTACAAAAGAGTGCGGACATTGCGGTATTTCGCTTCGTGACTATTCTTACCGCATTCTGCTATTAAAATGATCTCTCAAAAGGATTTTAATAAAATGGAAAACATTTACTCCCAGATTACTCTTGTCCACTTTTATTGCGATTATGTTTCAATTTAAATTTTCCTTTCACTTCCTACTTCAAAAGTGAATATAACATTACCCTTTATAAAGAACGAAAGTAATATGAAATAGAAGATTAAACTAAAATTGGGTCTCTCTCCATGGTCCGTCATCCAAAAGTTAATACTACTTAGCACGTTCCGAATTTCTTTCTTCTTTAAATTATTTAATTACGTTAAATCATCAACAATTTTCTAGTTTTTCCAAAGAAATGGCACGAGAAATTTTTCTTGCAATTTTCTGAAACGCCGAATTTCGCGTTCGAGCACGCTCGAGAATCGATCGACTAAAAATAAGCGTTTCAAGATCGAGGGTCAACCGAGTCAGCGATTATCGCGTTATCGATGCGACCTTACTTTACGAGGTTCAGCCTCCCTTGCACAAATATGCCTCTTCTTTCTCTCTTTTTCTCCCCTTCTCTACGGCCGGTAATCAACGCGGTGAATAAAAATGTAATCGATTACAACGGGGAGTCAATAAGATTTTGTATCGTATTTTTGTTTGGTGGATTTACCCGGTGCATATCGTGCACCATTGCTGGAATAAACGATTAATCCGTACGTTGTTATCGCGGTGTTCGAGTGGTTGGAAACAAACGACAACTGTTCGATCGTTGTTTAATATTCTAGCGACTGATTGAACGAGAAAACGTCTTGATTATAAAAAACGCTCTTCAGGATTTTGCAATCGTTTCGCGACAACACTTTAATCGTTCCTGTATTATTAACACGTTGAATATCATCTCACCCATATTTGAGTGACACTTGAATTGTCAAAAGAAACCATTATCTATATTATTAGAAATTTGGAAACAATGGAAATAACAAAATATCCGGAAAATAATAAATAAGATTTTTAAAAATTAAAAATATCTAATGAAAGTTTCAATAGCGTTTGCTTGGCAGTCAACGTGTTAAACTATTCAATTAATTATTGGGACCATTTCACCTAAATTATATTCTATAAAAATATAAATGATGCGTTACCCTTTCACGAAAGAAATAAATAAATCATGCCGTGGGAGGTGAGAAAGATTTTCTCGAGGACACTGATATTCCGGTGAAAAGGCAAAAATATTCGATCCTCTAGGAATAATGCCGAGCAAACACTGAATTTCGAGCGCGTGATTGCCCTACGGGTGAAAACGTGGACCATTTTCCTTTTCTTCTTTTTTTTTTCGCGGTCAATTTATCAAAGGCCATTCGAAAAAGGGGATCACGGTTTCCAGTCACGTCGAGAAATCCTTCAACGACGGGAAACTTTCATTCTGTACGGGGTCGGAAAGGAACGAAGGTATCTCGAGGGAGTCTCGTGACGATTAAATACCGACGGAACGAAACGGATTAACACCCACACTGTCCCGCATTGCTGCCATTTATATACCTGGGCGAAATTAATATATTTTTCTGCGCCGATTATTTCGAGATATTTATACGTACTCGTCTGTTAATTGAATGTAAAAGACAGACGTGAAAAGTTTCCTCTCGACCGGTCGAAAGATGACAACGTCATCCATAAGGCTTTTGTTGTCTTCGTTATCATATTGCCGTCGATTACGATACGATTAGCGTGGTTATTATGTTGTTACAACGTCGTTGACAATGATTCTCTCGGTTATTATGCTGTTACACATTATCATGGGACGTTGAAACAAATCTCGATGGGGACCAACTATCGGGCCCCCTTAATGACGAATTCAAGTGGCCGATTTAAGGACTCGGTCCCCGTCCCTCGCTCCATTCACAGTAAATTGTTACCAAAATTGATGGCAGGTCGAATAATCGGTCAACGAGACGAGTTGGAGTAATTAATGTTAAAAAGAAACATTATTCACTGCGACTTAATTATCTTTAAAATTAATGACGCACCGTGTGCGTCTTATGTTAAGCTAAAATTAATATACCTATACCTTGATTTCTATGCTTTTGTGATATTAATTCGTGTTTCTATTGTTTCAGGCAAATGCACAGTCGGCTGTCATGGAAGTAAGTGTCCAATTTTTCTTTTTTTTTTTTTCTATTAATCCTTGCTTCTGATTTCGATCGACCGATGTGTAATACTGTTTTTCTCTTACCTTTTCCTCAGTGCACCCGAGCAAAGCATACCAAGAAGGTCACACGTACGTCTACGATCTGCATGGTATGTCGGTGACGTCCGTCACCGAAGCAGAAGGGGATGCCACCCTTAAATTGTCCGCCACCGTGGAACTGTCTGTCAAACCAAACTGCGTCCATCAGTTGCGGCTGAAGAACGTCCGGTTCAATGGAGCGGTAAATACGTTTCTTTGATCTTCGAACTGAAAGTTGATAGAGATAGAAGATAAAATAAAGTATCGAATTCGATTCAACGATAGAAAAACCAAGTCGGATTTCAGATTTTCTATTAAGTTCCTATGGACTTCGAATGGGATTTGATCGAAATATTGATGGAAATGTACGTACGCGATATTGGTTGACGAAGGAATGTCTTTTTTCAGCCTGCATCCACGCCGGACGTTGAACAGTACGCGGTTCAATTCAATTATCACGATGGACACATTGACACGGAGCTGTGCACCGAGCCAGGTGACTCCCAAGGATCTCTTAACATCAAAAGAGCAGTTGTCTCGCTGTTCCAGTCGGCTGTTATGCAAGAAAGTGGTACGACGACTCACCACGAGGTTGGTATACCTGAAACAGAATAATTAATTGGTCAGATCAAATGTAATAATGAGTTCAAATTTACTTAATTTATTTAAATTGTCATTGCAAAATAATAGATAATAAATGTTTAAGTTATAGGGTAATATATATAGTTGTTAACCCTTATACAATAATTGGTCCTTTTCTTGAAAAGTTTCTGTTCAATTTGTGGAATTGGTGGTCGGAAAGGTGTTTGGTCTAAGGATTGTGTGCCAGACTCATTGGTAGGGTTGACGACACATCTCTGCCCCAGACGCCTACGATACTGATTTTTGGATCACATGCCGGTCGACCGCCAGCGAGAAAGAAGCAGTCTCGTAGCCACCTGGCGGCCGCCGGCCGAACTTTAGGCGTCCAGGGAGAGAAGCGCACCTCCCTTCCCCACTAGCCGCCTACAAATGTGTTAATTTTCCAGACCGACGTGATGGGAGCTTGCCCGACCGACTTCTCCTTCCACAAGGAGGGTGACACCATGGTGGTCCGGAAGAACAGGAACCTTGTACAGTGCGCCTACCGCGAGAACATCAATCAGGGTCTGATTTCAGCCAGCGTCGACACGGCGGCGGGCATCAAGTCATCTCCTCTGCTCGCGTCTCAGCAAGGTGTCGTTCAACGCTTCAAACGCGGTGTTCTGACCGAGGCAGTGTCCAAAGAGGCCTACGAATTAAGGCCATTCAGTAATGGTAACGCGGGTGCCAAGACCGCCATGGAGACCAGACTAGCCCTGAAGAGCGAGAAGGCTGACAACCCGACCGCGGCAGTGTCCCAACCTAAATCTCTGATCTTCGAAGCGCCTCATCCGGTGTTGCAATCATCCGCAGATGCCATCAGTAACGCGCTAAAAGCTGCTAAGGCTGAAGTGGCCGCAGGAGTGAAACCAGAAGCAGCTAGCAAATTCACTGAGCTGGTCAAGGTTCTCAGACTGAGCAACAAAAATGACATTCTATCGGTTTACCAAAAGATGAAACAAGGCGCTGGTTTCAACAAGGAGGACCAGAAGCTGTTCCTGAACACTCTGTTCCGAGCTGGAAGCGGCGAAGCAGCGGAGGTTGGAGTGGAACTGGTGAAGAACAAGGAGATCTCCGGCATCGATGAGCTCTTCTTCTACGCGAGTTTGGCTTTGGTACATCACGTGAATCTGCCTTCGGTGACGGCCGTCTCTACTCTGTTGGACCAACCTAATCTACCTCGACTCGGCTACCTGGGAATTGGACAGCTGATAGGCAAGTACTGTCAGGACCACTCGTGCGAGAACGTACCCGAAGTGAAGGAGGCTGTGCACAAGATTCGCGAGAAGGTGGGCAACGGCAAGGCTAAGACCAGGGAGCAGGAGAACCTCGTCGTATCCGCCCTGAAGGCACTGGGTAACACTCGCTTCCTGGATGACGCTACGCTGCAGAAGTTGGCCAACATCGCAGCCGACAAGAACGTCCGCAATCGCGTCCGAGTGGCTGCCCTAGACGCTCTGCCCAATAGATGCTCGATGAAATGGAAGAATACCGTGTTCAAGGTACTGGCCGATCGCGAGGAGGACAGCGAGGTCAGGATCAGGACGTATCTTGCTCTAGTCGCCTGTCCTTGTCCCCACGTAGCTAATCACCTTAAAGAGGTGCTGGACAAAGAGACAGTTAACCAAGTGGGATCCTTCATCCAGACTCACCTAAGGAACCTAAGAGCTTCCACCGATCCCAACAAACAGGAAGCTAAGAATCAACTAGGACTGATCAAACCACGAACCAAGTTCCCTGAAGATTTCCGGAAATACTCCTTCAACAATGAACTCTCCTACAAGATCGACGCCTTTGGTGTTGGATCCAGCCTGGAGAGCAACGTGATCTACAGTCAGAACAGCTTCGTGCCACGCTCGACGAACTTGAACATGACGATGGAACTGTTCGGACGCAGCTTCAACTTCCTGGAGCTGGAGACTCGTGTGGAGAACCTGGACCGAGTGCTCGAACGTTACCTGGGACCTAAGGGAAAGCTCTGGGAGAAGGACCTGGAGGATCTGAAGGCCAGCGGCACCGACACGGTCAAAGACCTTGGAAAATACATCAAGGAACGATTCGCGAAGACCGTGCGAGGAAAGCGAGAGGTGAAACAAGGAGAATTGGACAAATTCGCGAAGAACGTTCACCTGAGAGGCAACGAGGTCGACCAGGACTTGGATCTTGATCTCTCGGTTAAGTTATTCGGCGTTGAGCTCGCTTATCTTAGCTACCAAGGCGACAGCAACAAGTTGAACCCAGAAGTTATCGTCGACAAGGTCTTCGAACGCTTGGAGAAGGGTTTCGACATCGCCAAGAACTTGAACTACGACCTTGAAAACTATATGCAGTTCCTGGACGCCGAATTGGTATATCCAACTGGTTTGGGAACTCCCTTGAACCTTGGTGTAACCGGAAGCAGTGTGGTCCGCATGAAGACCAACGGAAAGCTCGACATCCCAGCTATCCTGAAGGACCCGAAGAACGCCAACTTCAGAATCGCCCTCGACCCCAGCGTGTCCGTCAACATCGTTGGAAACATGATCGTCCAAGGTCTAGGAGCTGAAGCTGGAATGAAAATCATCAGCACCCTTCACACGGCCAGCAGCACGGACGTAACCGTCTCCGTACTGGACGGCAAGGGCGTCGACGTCAACTTTGGCATACCAAAGAGGAAGCAGGAACTCATCAGCGTCAGCAGCGAGGTGTTGCTCAGTTCTGGAGCGAAAGGTGACAAATACGTGGCTCCCAAATTTGGAAAGGGTAAATCGCACTCGGACTGCTTCGATCAATTCTCCACCATCCTTGGTCTTACGGTCTGTGGACAGATCTCCTACCCGTATGAAGATCTCGCCACCATCCAACAGAAACCATTCTTCCCATTGAGCGGACCAGCTAAATTCGCAGTCACCGTTGAAAACAACGATGTGAACAGCTACCACTTCAAGGTCTACCTGAATACTCAGGATCCGAAGAAAAAATCCTTCGAGATCCTCCTGGATACACCCAACAGCAAGACCAACAGACACGTGTCACTGAACCTGGAGGCTGGTCTCGAACCCCACAAGTACGTCAAGGTCTCCGTCGACTCGCCCATCAAGAAGGCTTCCTTGGAACTGATACACAAGGACACACCTCAGGAACGCAGCCTCACCCTTACCGCGTTCCACGATCAGATGGAATACTACGCTCGCATTGGAGTGTTGGCCTCCGGAAGCAAATACAAACCGGTGCTGGAGTACAGAGTACCCGAACACATCGAGAAACTGGCCAGCGCGAAGACTGGTCTGAAGTCGGGACAACATTACAACGTCGAAGGTACGGTAGATGTTTCCGACTACCAAGGTGGTCAGAAATACGTCCTCGACAAGGTCGCCCTGGTGGTCGGCGGTCAGAAATTGATCGTCATCGACGGTTCAGCTATAATGACACCCACAGCTGTCAACGTCGACACGAATCTTGGCTACGGCGATAAGAATCTAGCTCTGAAACTGGACGGAAAGAAGGTGGCTGACAACAACTACGCTCTGTCCGTGTCTGCCATGCCATCGACCGACCCCAACATAGGATTCAACTTGAACTGGGAATTCAAGAGGGGAAAGAACGACCTGACGAACAAGTTGGTCTTCGTCCATGGGGCTGATCCAAACTCCCAGACCAATCGTTTGTCGTTGAACCAGAACGCCGTTTACAAGCTGGACCCTAAGAACCTACTTCTGTCCACGTCCAACGAGCTCACTTATCCAGCGCTGAACATGAAGCTGAAGTTGGATGGCAAATTATCTCGTAAATCGATCAGCACCGATATCGAGGTCAAATACGAGACTTTCAAATTTGGCACTGAGCTATCTGCCAAGAAGGACATGGAGAAACCAGGTGACTACGAGATCGAGCTGGAGGCTGAGTTGATGCAGAACGCTGTGGAGCTAAAGTCCAAGCGTACCGTCCTCGATCCCCAGAAGAGCAAATTCACGAACTCTCTGGAGCTGAAACCAGGTGGTAAATACGAAGCTGACGCGACGGTGACCCACGACGTGAGCAAGAACAACGTGAACGTCCAACTGGACGGCGACGTGAACCTGAACGGGAAGAAGGTGAAGGTCGACACTGGCCTGGAAACTAATCGTGAATCCATCAACTCTCGCGTCTTCGTGAAAGTGGATGGCGTTAAGTACGTGGAATTCTTGTTGAAGACCAGACGATCGCCGCATCCTCACGGTACCTTGACCTTGAATCTGAAGAACTACCTGACCGCCAGTGGTCAGTACGTCTTACAGAACCATAAAGGAAACGCCAACCTGAACATCGACATCCCTAAGATCAATCGCAAGATCAAGGTCAACAGTGACCTTGCCATATCCGGCTCCGAACACGTGGCCAACTTTGAGGTCCTCTATGACGCCGAGAAGGACCCAACGAAACGCGTCAAACTCTCCACCATCTCTGACATCTCTGTTGTCACGAGCTCGAATAGATACTCGATAGATACTAAGAACGTTTTAGAAGTCCTCACTTACAAGCTGGAACTGAACGCTAAAGGCAAGCTACAGGGAACCGTGTCCGATGGTCACCTGCAGTTGGACGTGGACACCACCCTGCCGAATGGACGTTACCTGGTCTACAAGCTCAAACGGAATTCCGCGAAGAAGAACAACAAATACGACATCCAAGTGGACTCAGAGCTGATAGACAGCGAGAAAAAAGGTGGACAGTCGAGGAAACTCGCTTACATAGCTGACGTCAAGGACCTGAATTTCCAAGATCTTACCCACGGGAAGAGCTCCGCTCAACTGAAGTACGTGAACACGGAGGGTAAGGATACGCAGATCACCTGGGGCGGACAAGACGTCGTCCAACCGGACAAGACCAGAATGAGGGAATTGTCCGTCGAAGTGAGTGGAGCTAATATTCCAAAGAAGTTCCAGCTTGAAGCGAGTTCGAGCTGCGGTGATAACGAGGCAGCTTACAAAGCGAAATCCTCCTTGGGTGATGACTTCTCACTGATGGTGAGTAATTAACGATCCCAAATGATTCTTTGGGTCTATCTGACCTAGTTAACACTTAATTTTATTTACAGAGCAGTGGAACAGTGAACCAGGGCAACAAAGTCGACAAACCTTCCAAGCTGGAAGGAGTCCTGGACATGAAACTGCCCAGCGACAAGCTAAGCAACTTGAAACTTGAAATTTCTTCAAGTATACTGGAGGCTATAGAAAAGAACTTGCTCGAATACACCGAATCCCTGAAATTGACATACAACAATGACAAAACTATCCAAGGAGAGTCGTACTTGAAACTTCAGATCCCTGACAAGGATCCTAACGCGGCTAGCTCTGGTACTGGAAAGCTAACGTTGAACGTTCTCCAGCATCCACCACTGAAACTAGAAGGTAACTACGAATACGTTCCCACCCCTGAAAAGCAGACAGCTATGGTTGATCTGAATGCCAGTTACGGAGACAAGAAACTGTCCCTTCGAAGTGACAACGAGTACCTTCCTAAAGTCGCAACGGTCAATCTGAAAGCCAAAGGCAATGCACTTCTGGAGAAATTACACAATGTTGCCTTGGACCTCAAATACAAGGTAGTATTTCAAGAATACCTTCGTATACAATGTAATCTATCCTCAACTGATCTTCTATTTTAATTTACAGAGATTCAAAGAAGAGAACAGGATGCTAGTGGACAGTGTCCTCACTGCTGATGGTAACAAGTATACTTTGAACAGCGAAGTCCAGCATCAGCCTACCAACAACGTGTTCCATCTGACAGCTGGTTGTCCATCAGGCAAGACTGAGGTACTCTCGAAATTCCAGAAACTTGGAGACAAAGAATACAAAGGTAATTAACCTGGAATCCTTAGATCAGCTTAGATAGAGTGGAGTATTATTGGGAATTTCATTACAGGTGAATGGAAAGTGAACACCCCCAAGGGATTCGTGGTTGCTGACACCCACGTGGACCTGGAGAGCGTCGACAACTTCGTGATCAACGCTAACTTCGACAGTGACAAGCTGAAACACCGCAAGATCCACGCTGAGATCGCCAACAAACCAACTGCCAAGGCTGGAAAGAGGATCGCCATCACTGTAACCAGTGATGGTCAGAACATCGTGACTGGAAGGTATATCAGTGACAATTGTATAAATAAGATCTGGCAAGGTTTCTTCAAACAGACAATACTTGTCTCATCGAACCAATGTCTTTGTTGATTATTTCAACGATGATCACTTGGGGGACTAAGCTTCTACTGTCTATTCAGCACGAGTTACAAGAAGCGAGACGAGGATGGCAAGATCGTGGTGGAAGGAAACGGAAATCTGAAGGTTGGCGACGACACCAAGAGCTCGTCCTTCAAGTACACTCGTCAACAGCTGACAAAGGAGAAGGATGGAGAGGTTGGTGTCGCGATGGTGTTGAACGCTAACTTTGGACCATCGGCAATCGTTGGTGAATTGAAGTTGTCGAACAAGGAGGTGCATGTTTTCAACAGCTACTGCGAGCAGAACAAGGACTGTGCTCACTTCAAGCTTCAATCGACCCTTGATGTAGAACGTAAGTAGTTCCTTTATTTCTCAACTCCTCTTTTAATACAGTGGTCCAATATCCCTTTTTTGATACATTCTCAGATAAAGCTCTACTGAAACACCAAATAACTGTGGAAGTCGACCTGAAGAAGTTCAACGTACCTGCTGAATTTGGTTTGAAGACCAGCACAGAGTTCAAGAAACCTATCTTCGACCATACTACCAACCTTTATCTTCACTCCACCAAAGACAAAACTGAATACACCTACCAAGTGTACATTCATCCTAAGGAAGCAGGTAAGGATCATAAAATGATGTTAGAAATATTTGGTAATTACTGTTAGATGACTTTGCTAGCTTGCTATATCACTTGACACTGGTAAAACTTAGAGTGATGTTAAATTTTGACTACAGCTACCATCCTGACCCTGCCATCTCGTGAAATGGCTGTTATCCTGACATACGACTTGCCAAAGACCAAGCAAACTGGTGCATACAAGGTGGATCTGTCACTTTATCTGGACCGGAAGAACAAGCCATCAGATAAGACCAGCCTGTCAGCCACTGGGGACATAAACGTCGACAAGAACAGCCTGTCTTTTAGTGGAGAGACCAAGTTCACTTATCCTACACAACCTAAGGTATTAATAAAATTAATAACTTTAGATTTTTAAATTATGAAATTGAAGAGGTCGCAATTAGAAAATTTAAATTAGACTTGTTAGATACCTCCAGGAAAAAATGAAAATAAAAATCACTATTAATCTTTTTTAGGACATGGTAGTGAAAGGAAAGCTCCATACCGGCGGAGACCATCTGTTGGACGCCAATCTGGACATCGACGTGTTCGCCAAGAAATCTCAAAAGATCTCTATCGTGGCTAACGTTCAACGTCAGCCGATTGCAGAGGGTACAAATGTGACCGGAATGGTCGAAGTGAACAGCCGTGGACAGCAATTGAAACTCGATCTGAAGTCTCATCTGACTCTGTCGAAGCAACAAGCAGGATTTGGTACCTTCTTCACTTACAACGACGTCAATCAAAAACCAAAGACGATGGGTGTCCTCTCTTCGGTGGATATCAATCATGCTTTCTTCCTGGTTACTTTGCCTGACAAGGAACTGTTGAAAGACGACTGGAAGATGGAGTTCTCTAAGAACGTGCAAAAGGTCGACAGGGAATTATCTGTACTGGGTGAACCACCACATGTAATGAACTTCGAAGCCAACGATTTGAATCGTTTCAAGCTCCAGGTGTATTCGAAAGGTGAGATTATTATTTTGAGGAATGTAGAAAAATTTGTTTAGATTGAAAAATGATTTTTTTTGGATTTCGCTTTTCAGACAAACCTAATAATAAATTGAGCGTGAATGGTCAAGTAGTACTCGGTCAGTTAGCCGAAATCCACGCAGATTTGTTCAAGAATGGTGGAAAGAAGGATCTGTTCCACGTTTTGATTCATCTTGATGAGAAACAATTTTTGAAACCTGACTTTGGTTACAACAAGGACAACGTAGCTGAACTTTTGGTAAGTAAATGGATACAGTTTTATCGATCGTTGAGAGAATAGGGTGCCAAGGACATCACGTTCTACCCCTCGTTGAAATATTCCAGGAATTATATAAAAATAGAAACATCGAATTGGCTAAGAGGAAGAAGGAGCTTCTTGATTACGTGGTCGAGGAAGTAAAAGCGGAGGGTACAGACTTACTGGATCACCTGAAGAAGGCCCAACCTAACATAAAGCCCCTCATGGACTATTATCAGGGAGAGTTGAATAAGATGAAGGATGAGGTCTACGCTGATGAGACTGTTAAAGAAATCCAGGCTACCTTGTAAGTATTCCTATGGGGTACTTTCTGTTTTTAATGGAAGTATCGTGGAAGAAATTTCTTATGGAAAGTTTATGTTCAGGTAATTTAACACTGATGCTCGAGCAAGGTGATTGAGGAAATTTATTATCTTATATATTTCTTTGTTTTCATCCTTGAGTGGGTTAAACAATATCTCTATATTTCTATGCTTGCAAGTTTCCAAATTTCTAAATTCTCAAGTTCCTAAATTTCTAAATTCCTAAATTCCTAAATTTCCAAGTTTCCAAGTTCTTAAATTTCTAAATTTCCAAATTATTATACTAAATCCCCAAATTCTCAAACTTCCAAATTCCCAAACTCCCAAATTCCCAAATTGCCAAGTTCCTAAATTTCTAAATTTCCAAATCCCAAGTTCCCAAGTTCCTAAATTTCTAAATTTCTAGCTCCCCAAATTTCTAAATTTCTAAATTCCCAAATTCCTAAATTTCCAAGTTTCCAAGTTCTTAAATTTCTAAATTTCCAAATTACTAAATCCCCAAATTCTCAAACTTCCAAATCCCCAAACTCCCAAATTCCCAAATTGCCAAGTTCCTAAATTTCTAAATTTCCAAATCCCAAATTCCCAAGTTCCTAAACTTCTAAATTTCTAGCTCGCCAAATTCTGAAATTCCCAAGTTCCTAAATTTCTAAATTCCACTTCGAGATTAATATAAGAATTACTAAACATTATTATTTCTTTCCAAGGGACAAATATTTCGGTGCACTGGTCGCAATCGTTGCGGATACCATGAAGCAGATCGCCCAAGGTTTAGAAAAATTGCAACAACAGTTGAACGGTATCATAACGAACGTAAGGGAAGCCATCAAGGCGACTTATCCTCAGCTGAAGGCGTCTTACGACAAGATTTTCCATGAATTTATGGAAATCCTCGACGCCGTGGCGAAACTCGCGAACACTTATCTTAAAGCGATCTTGAATCTCATCAACGAGCATCAAAAGGAGATACAAGACGTTATGAGCGTTGTATCAGGAATGACTCAAGACTTCGCGAAGATCGTTACCAAGGGATTAGAACAGATCAAGCAGAATCTCGAGGAATTTGGTGCCATGTTGATTAATCAGTTGAAGGCTCTTCCGATTTACGAGATGGCCAAAGAGAAATATCAAGAATTACAACAGTTCCAAATACCGGAAATGATTGTTAGCCCTATCGAGGAATTCTGTAAGGTCATGAACACTGCCCTACCTACGGAAGAACTTCGTCAGTTCACCGATGCCACCTGTCAATACTTCCTCAAACACGTCAAACACGAAAAGGTAATTGTGAGAATTATTTAAATTTCACGTAATTATTTAAAAGATGATCTAATATTGATTAGCGAAAAATTTTAACCAATTATTATGATTACATAAATTTTTCTTCTGAAATACTCACCAGATTGACGAGATGGCCGAGCTAAAGAAATTGTACTCTCACGCAGTGACTGCGCTCCAATCAGTTCTGGCTCTTCTACAGAAACAGGCAACATTCGATAACGTGTTAAACTTCGTTCAAATCCAGGCACCCATTGATTTCAGCCTTTTGTCCAAACTCCCTGGCATTTCCACTCTAAGGGTGTCTGTTTTGAACCTCTTGCGCAACAGGGAACTACCATCGCCTCTGGATCTGTACTACACTTATAGGTAAAACGATTTCGATAAATGAATTTTCCATAAACTACGTTCAACTTTCCCTTTGTCTATTTCAGCCCTTACCTTAGCCGAGACTCTAACGAGAATCTCTGTCTCAATATTAATTACTATTATATATTCGCCACAAAGCCGGTTAAATTAAAGTGACAGATATAAATTGCACTGTATCCTCAAAGCGATCCAGACATCGGGTTATTTCCTTCGATTTCGAGATTCAATCTGGAAAATATACAGGGTGTTAGAAAAAAGAAGTGAAATTTTAAAGAAGTTTCTTAATTATTGGATAATTAATGCCATCTGAAATATTTTTATCATTCTAACGGCGGACCATGGAGAGAGTCATAATTTCAATATAATTATGTATTTCATATTATTTTCATTTTCTAAATTTTACACTGTTCCTTTAAAAATTATTTTTCACCTTAGCTTCTTTAATTTTTCTAGAATTAAGCAATAGCCATTCTACTTAATAATTACAATTAAAACTTGTCTGACTTTATATGGATATTTTCACTGTGCCACTGAATGTGTCAACTCTCGAACGGCGGACCATGGAGAGAACCCCAATTTTAATTTTTCTAAAAATTATTCTTTCATGTAAAACACTATTGTTTAAAAATTAGATTAACTTTAGATTAATATTCTTGCATATATTTTGTAAGTTTGGGTCAGGAATATCCCAGGCTCCGCTGTTGGCTATGTTTCAAGATTTCTATGTTTACTAAATTGTTTAAAATTATGTTTATACAGACCAACCCTTTACCCAAGCGACATCCTGCCACCATTCAGCAAATCAGGAGTCGTCACCGATGGAGGACACTTCTTCACTTTCGACGGACGTCATCTGACGATGCCTGGAACGTGCACCTACATCCTGGCGCAGGATATGCAGGACGGAAACTTCTCGGTAGTGGCGAACTACAACAATGGAAATTTAATCAGTGTCACCATCACCGAACCTAAGGAAAGCATCACGCTCAAGAACAATGGAAATGTAAGGGAACATGCATATACTTCCTTCGCAGAATACAGAGTCTTAGGGGTGAATCTGAATAAAATTGAAGATATTTTTCAACTACTCCTGAAGAATTACTATTTTTATAATTTTTTATTAATAATATAATCAGAAAAAAATGAAGATTTCTGAGATCCTTTTGATTTTATTCTAACAATAAGTTAAATTAAACAAAATTAAAAAAGCAACAGTAAAAACAGATTTCATTCAATATTTTTTGAAATAGTAAATGGAATACTCAGAAGGGGGCCCCCTGGAAAGTGAAGCCCAGGGCTGTAGTCCCCCTTAAAATTTTTAAGTAATTTTTACTCTGCTAATTTTTCATTTCAAATATTTTTTATTTACAAGAAATCACCTCGTTGCTGTGTACGTGCAATTAAATTATAATTAATTCAATTGCTTCTTTCAGATTTTGGTGAACAACAAACCGGCCGATTATCCGGCAAGCACGAAGAACTTGCACGCCTATCTCGTTCCGCCGTTCGCCAATGTGAAATCCGATTACGGTGTACGCGTTACCTGTACCAACAAGGTGCCTATGGTTTGCGCCGTCCACGTTTCCGGTTTCTACTTGGGCAAACTACGCGGTCTCCTCGGCGATGGCAACAATGAACCGTACGACGACTATACTTTGCCCTCCGGAAAGGTATGTGTCTCGTGTCACGAAGTTTCTAAAGCGTTCTAACTCACGGAAGTCGAAGTTTTCGTGGAAATAGCGAGGAGGTGGTTGCCTCTCGTGCCGACTCGAATATCGTACGATCTTCAAAGGGCAACGATCCTTCGACCCCTGTGCTCAATCTTTTAGGACACTAGACTATTTTTGTACCACTACTTTCATGAAACAATCAATTAATTCGCTTCTCCAAATTTAAAAATATTAATATCACTATCGGTATTAATTTAATATTCCTCCTTAGATCACCGAGAGCGGAAGCGAATTCGGAAATGCGTACAAATTGAAGGGCGACTGTCCGGATGCAGCTGCAGTCGAGCACAAAGATCGTGCTCCACTCTGCACTGATTATTTCACTAGCCAAAGTTCATCATTGAAGTAAGTAATTCTGTTTGCTTCAATAAATGACCTCCGAAGGTTTCAAATATTTTATTTTTAAAAAAGATCTTGGTGACAGAAAATCAGTAAAATAATCTACGATTACAGATCGTGCTTTAATTACGTGAATCCAGCTAATTACCGTGATGCTTGCGACCACGCGGTTGCCGCAGGTACACCTGAGGGTGCTTGCGTAATCGCCACAGCTTATCATTACGCTTGTTACGCGCAAGGTGTTATGAGTACTCGTGTCCCTTCAACCTGTGGTAAGTCATCAGATTTTTCTCTCATTAATTTCCTCTGAAATCTATAGACTAATATTTCTTATAACGTTTTAGGAAGCTGCAAAGTAGGAGGAAATAAGATCAACATCGGTGACACGTTCAGTGTGAAGGTACCAAAGAAAGAGGCTGACATAGTGTTCGTGGTGGAACAACAGCATCCAAACGAGAAGGTTTTCAAGGAAATGGTTACCCCTTTGATGGCTGATCTCAGAGAGGAATTGAAGCAACAAGGAATTACGTGAGTAATTTGTTTCTTTGTTGTAATTCGAGGAATATTATTTATTTCTAATTAAACGATGCTTATATTTGAACAACAGAGACGTGCACATCGGTCTGATTGGATTCAGCGAGAACACCAAGTGGCCACAGCACTACACTATAAATGGCAATCCTAACATCGATGGTGAAGTGAAGAACATCAAATTCAGTGAGAAGAAACCTAGCGTCAGTCTGGAGGTAATTATTTTTTCAACATTATTTGTCTACTTGGAAGAACCATTGGTGTAATTAGAATTTTGGGGGTGGGCCAGGTTTCTTGGAAATTTTGGATTTATAGAATTTTTAAATTTTGAATTTGTGGAATTTTTAAATTTTGGATTTCTGGAATTTTGGAACTAAAATTTTAAAAAGTCTATCTTGGGAATTTTTAAATTTTGGAACTGTAAAATTTTAAAAAGCTTATCTTGGGAATTTTTAAATTTTGGATTTCTGGAATTTTGGAACTGTAAAATTTTAAAAAGTCTATCTTGGGAATTTTTAAATTTTGGATTTCTGGAATTTTAGAACTGTAAAATTTTAAAAAGCCCATCTTGGCCCCTACCTAATAACGCCAATGGAAAATACCACTTGCAGGATCGAATTAAGATTTCTGAGACCCCGGGGCTATTGAACTTCCAACCGAATGAATACTGTGTCGAGAGTGACTGTAAGTCAGCTGAGAGTAATTCTCGGTACATTGTCCTCTTGCAAAACAAGTATTTCATTTCCCAATGAATGTTAATTGAGAGTTCATTCACACATCTAATGATTGCCTAATACGGAATAAAATGCCTTTTTTCCTTATCATTCACCGACGACATTAACATTCTTATCTACACGAGACAATGTCGCTAGAGCCGGTGCAACACGTGTTATCACTAATGAACCTGACTCATCAGCTACGATACACTTTTTCTTATCTCTGACGTGATTCAGAATCGATCACGTGTAACAAGATTATGTTTTTCCTTTCCTTTTTCTGTCAAGATAAATATTCATTCCATTCCAGTGACTAATTGACTATGCTAATTCAAAGATGATTCGATATCAGAGTCACTTCAAATAAATTTCAAACAGATAAGGATTGTTATAAATTACCATAGATCAAAATGAAAAAATAGGATGATTATTTTGTATTTTACAAAATAAAATGAAAATCAGGGTGAATGATAATTAATAGCAACGAGAGTCATTAATCTTTACCCGAGTCTTTCAAGAAACATAAAATTTCTTCGAATTGTACATTAAACGCGTATCAAGTTTTTGCTGCTTGTTTGCGTGCGTTAAACGAGAAAATAACAAATTGCTTCCAGGAAGCAAAGGAAGGCGACACGGAAAAGAAGATAACCTACTTGCACCAGAAGTTGGACGTTGAACTGGGAACGTTCAGATTGACCGATGCCTACGAGGAAGCTATTCGATATCCATTCAGACCTGGTGCAGCCAAAGTAGTAATTGGTGTGATCGCAAATCCATGCGAGAAGAGTCCATTCCCTATTTCTGTGAGCATCATTTTCAGCCCACTAATTAGCTAACAAATTAATTCGAGTCAATTTCATTTCATAGAATTTGAGTTCTATTTATAAAGAATTAATTTTGTAATAGGGTAAGGTATACAATGATTGACCCCTTTCCTAAAAAAAAATAAGAAATATAATATAAATTTTTAACCCTTGGACGGCGGACCATGAAGAAAGCCCAAATTTTATATTCTAAATTTTACATTGTTTCAATATATCAAACGATTTCATTTAAAATCCCTATAGCAGATGGAAAGTTTAGAGATTCTCAGATATAATTTTCATCTTTCAGCTGCAACAAATAAGGCTTCTGTTGGGCATGAAAATCTACCGCGATCTCGGTCTTACCTATCATCACATATCATACCCGAACGAGCTACTTGTATCGGGTAAACCCCAGAAGAATATCGTCGGCTACGATCAAGATAACGCGTACACGTTTGCTGATAGCAAGAAGAAGCCTCTCAGCGGAAGCAGCGACATGAAGAACAACCTCGTCGCGACGACCAACGACGTCTGCGCTGATTTCGCAGTTTCCGTAAGTGCTCGATCAACAAGCGAAATTTCATAAGATTTATTTCTCATTGCAAATCTGAAAATTTCCACGTGTTTTTACTTATTACAGTCTGGAGGAGCAGCGTTCAGTTCGGACAACTTCCTGGACGCGAAACCGAACCAGAAGAAGCAATTCATTCAAGTGGCTGCGAAGAGGGTCGTCGATGGTTTGGTTAGCGTAGAACTCGAGAAAGATTGCTCGTGCGATTATCAATTCGGTTTCGTCGGGCGTACTCAATGCAAAATCGTCGGTCGCAAGGAGGCACCCGCGGTAAGTGAACAATTTCAACATTTTCAAAAATTAATTTTCAAATAAAAAATTTCTAGGCTTGCTATTTCAAAATATAAATTTATAGTAATGCCCCGATAGTAGACGCATTTTTATCCCAGTAATAGACGCCTCCCCCGTTAGTAGACGCATTTTTTCCCTCATAATCTAAAAATTGCTCCAATTTAAAAACTAATTAGGTCATCATTAAGAGTGGTCCATAGACGCCTCCCCCGTTAGCAGACGCATTTTTCCCCCATAATAAACGCCTCCCCCGTTAGTAGACGCATTTTTGCCCCCGTAATAGACGCTTCTCCCGTTAATAGATGCATTTTTTCCCCCATAATCTCAAAATTGCCCCAATTTAAAAACTAATTAGATCATCATTAAGAGTGATCCATAGACGCCTCCCCCGTTAGTAGACGCATTTTTCCCCCATAATAGACGCTTCCCCCGTTAATAGATACATTTTTTCCCCCATAATCTCAAAATTGCTCCAATTTAAAAACTAATTAGGTCATCATTAAGAGTAATAGACGCCTCCACCGTTAGCAGGCGCATTTTTTCCCCCATAATAAACGCCTCCCCCGTCAGTAGACGCATTTTTGCCCCCGTAATAGACGCTTCTCCCGTTAATAGATGCATTTTTTCCCCTATAATCTCAAAATTGCCCCAATTTAAAAACTAATTAGATCATCATTAAGAGTGATCCATAGACGCCTCCCCCGTTAGTAGACGCATTTTTCCCCCATAATAGACGCTTCCCCCGTTAATAGATGCATTTTTTCCCCCATAATCTCAAAATTGCTCCAATTTAAAAACTAATTAGGTCATCATTAAGAGTGGTCCATAGACGCCTCCCTCGTTAATAGACACGACGTGATCCCAAATTTTGCGTCTACTATAGAGGCATTAATTAAAAAAAAAATGAATTATCTTTTCCTATATTTCAGAGATCCACCAAGGGAGTGAAAGGTTAAGATAGGAGCTCACCGCGCAGACTAATTACCAATTAATTTAGCTATAATTGTATTTGTTACTTTGTTATAACACAACAGGCGTCTTTTTTGATACTTGTAAGCGAATTAAAACGTTCATCAGACCTTACAAAGCAAAACGGGGTCGAAAGAATCACGAGGACTGAGTGTTAATTCATACACAGTCCTTATCTTATTTTCTTCACGCGTACGTAACATCGTGGACGTGAGAGAAAACGTGAATCGTCGTTTATTTAGCCGAAAACTTTGTGTACATCGAAGAGAAGAAACGCGTAGGTATTAAAATTGCGTGACGATCAAAGTAATCATAGAGAAAGATGTAAGAGGGTGAGGAAATAAAAAAAAAATGTAAGACGACGAGTAAACAGGGGATGGATATCGATTCGATTTTACGGTACGATTTGTACGGCTTACCTTTATTAAATTAAGATACCGATGCTGTACGACTCGAGCCTGTTAATCTGAATTCAATACCTAACCGACGTATCGTTTATCCTCGATACTAGATGCTATGTCTGACTTGTGAAGAAATATACATTACATTGTTCTTATGTGTACCATCGACCATCTTTATTATTTCAAAACTCTGAACCTTTCCCACCGTTTACCTTCACGCGATATCGCGTGCTCGATTATCAATGTCTAAAATTAAACTTATAATTTATAAACGAAAGAGTTTCATGAGTTGGGGCTCTCTCCATGGTCCGCCATCTAAAAGTGAACCCTCCTTCCAGGCTTTGACAGAAGGGAAAGTTCAAAAATGATTTGAAAATTTAATCTGAAAAAATCTAGCCCAGAGTAACGAACGCGTTAAAATCAACCCTTCCTCCACCCTCGCTGAAAGAAAGATAGCTGATCAAAAACCACTGTGTTTAATTTTAAACGGTGGAGAAAATAAAGGAAAGAAATTGAACAGTGTCGAATGAAAGTATAGGCGTGGTGAAGTTCCAAAATTCCTTTTCCTTCTTTTAGAACTACCCCTTATCGACAAGTTTTTTTTTAAGTATCTCCCTATCGCGATGACGTGAATGTTACGCTAACGTTAGATCGGTCACGTTAGCAGGGTGTGCATGCACACGGTTCACATTCACCGGCCTCTGTATCTGTGTTTAAAATCAAAATTCCTTGCCAGGTTAATAAGGGAGGTTCATCAGATAACGCTTGTCCGGCGAGCAACGTGCTTATTTTTAAAATGTTTCCCTTAATTACGGCGAAGATTTGGAAAGATTAAGCCCGCTTCGTTTCAAACTATTTAATCACTATTAATTATTATTCAATCTCTAATCCATCTTCCTTACGTGTCGAACGATAACACGGCTCTCTGTATTCAAATTTTCTTTTCTAATTTTATTTACCTATTAAATCTCTCCTCTCCTATTAAAAGTCTTAACCGATAAGTCTTATCAATGAATTAGAAATCGAGAATTGGAGCGTAACTTCGTCTGTACAATTCAATTCGCGAAACCTTACGTACGGTCGTCTACGGTAAATCGAATTATTTGCAAATCTTTATTACATTTTCCTTCCTCTACATTTGCTTTTGCATCGGGGAACCTATACCAGTGAATCTGTCTAGGCATCTTGGAAATGAATAGAAAATTCAAACGTTAATTATCAAAGTTATTCTGATATGTTGTAAATGAAGAAAATTCACGTAGAAGATTCTGGATGAAACTGAAAATTGTATAATCAGCAGCAGACGTTTCTACTTCACTGACCTACTTGGCTGATGCTAGACTACTTAACCCTTTGACGACCGCCTTCGTGTAAAAACACTCGTTCCACGAGTGTCGTCGACATCGCGGAGCTATGCGACTATTTCTGTGTCAATTTTCATTTCATAAGACTGCTGGCAACTCGGCCGATCTTGGTACTCGTATATGATCGTTCTACGCAGAACCGGATTAAGATTTCTAAGGCCTTGAGGCTATGAAACCTTCGAGAATCTTCTTTAGTTTATAAGCTTGGTTAAAAAATTGAAATTTATTCAAAAAAAAAATTAATTCGATATTTTTTTAATTGGCTTAGGAGGGGACCCTTGGATATGGAAGACTTAGAAGGGGGCCCTTGGATATAGAAGGGTTAGAAGGTGGTTTTTGAATATGAAAGGCTTAGAAAAGGGTGCCTTTAGATATGGAAGGCTGAGAATATGGAAAGCTTAGAAGGGAGCTTAGAAAGTTTGGAAAGTAGGGCCCAGGGCCTTAAACCTCACCATAAACCACCCCTTAATCCGGTGCTGATTTTAGAAAAACTTAGAATTTTCATTCCATAAATAACAATAAAAAAAAGGTCATGACCATTTTCAATTTTCACGGTAAATCAACAACGCGGAAATTCATGTTCCTCTTATATAAATGCTTGAATCATTGCAGCAAAAAAAGGAGATATAATGCTCTTACGTTCTTTCTTTTTCCTCCGTCTCCGAGCGTTCCTCTTATCAAAGAAAACCAGGAAAACTCGACGAAACAGCCTCGACGAATCTGCAAATAATATAATAATTTGTAAAGATGTCTGGGATACATTTTTCTTTAATGAACGTCGTTTTTATTTCACGGGTGTTTGTGACAAAAAACTATGAATATCTCGTTGTACGAAAGCAACAAACGATTTTTGCCCGCCGCGGAATCGGCATCGTCTGACCACTACACCTGAACACGATACTTTGTTCGTCCAACAAAAGTGAAAGGAACATGTTTGTACAACAAGGAATAATATAAACACATTACACGTTCCTTGTTCTCTGCTTTTTGTAATAATAATACAGTGGACCCAAATGTAATGCAATAAATTATACAAAGTGTATCAAAAAATGAGACCAAAATGAAAAGAAGAGTCATAAGACAAGAGTAAAGTCATTATATCAAGTGAAACGTATAAAAAAAAAATTATCTAATTTATACCAAGCTTTACATGAGGGTTCACTGTAATTAATATTCCTCTAAGTCGACGAGAAAAAAAAAAAGAAAGAAATTTTTATTGTGGACGTAGAAACCAATAATTTAACGATACGCTGCTCGAAGACAAAGGTGCGTCTACTAATAATATTTAAATAATTATTTATTGAATATCATAGGTAATATGAATTAGCAAAGATCATACCCACAGCGGTTTTTCGTTTAAATAAAGAACAATAACTGTTCGTAAACACTGATCATATATACCTGCACATGTTCTGTGTGTATCCTCTCCACATAAGCTTCACCCACACATTCTCTCTATCTCTCGTTTCCGTTCTTCAGCTTAAATTTTCTTCAACGAAGTCATTCTCTCCCACTCGTTCCGTCGGCCACATTCTCGCTCTCTCACTCTCAGCATCGGCTTAATTAATTGTCTTAATTAACACTTTTTATACGGTACTTAGAGAGCTGGCGCATTCGTGTACGTACACTCACACGCATTTTGTATCACGCCTATACATTGTGTGTTACAGGATATTGCAAAGTTAAAACGATCAGGAATTACACTATTTAATAGTGAAATATTGAAAGATTATCGTTTAAATAAATTAAGATCTATTTGTGGCCTTGCCATTGCCAATTATAACTTAGTTAATTTTATTTAGAATAGAAGACTGATTGCTCAACTTTGAAACACCCTGTATATACAGGCTGTATCGAGCATCATGTTTCAAACGAAAAAAAGGGCTGATTCCTAGTGTAAAAATAAGTAAAAAATGTAGAATAAAATTTCTTCCTAGAGAGCTTCATTTTTTAGAAAATTAATTTTGAAAATTTCATTCTGAAGAACCTAATATTTTTGTTACAGTTACTAATTTTTCGTTTCTATTTCAAAGAATAATTTATATAATTAAGGATCGCTAATTATACAATTATAAGATAAAGCGTTAATTTATAAATACTTGATGAATATTTAGAATCAATTTTCTCGAAAACTACTGGTGATAAGAAAATAATTCATTCTACGTAATCGACTTGTTTCTCCATCAAGAATCATCTTCCTCTCATTCGTACCATGATTCCCTGATATATCCTGTATAATTTAATATGAACGACAGCTGCAGCTGCGTCTCACGCCCGTCTGCACCTAGAAATTACCATTTATAATTACGTGATTGTATCTAACAAGCAATGAACTTTCCACGATCACCACGAGCCGCTGTCTCGTGGTTTCACTTACGATTAGGAAGTATCCTGAAACCAAAGGGGGTCCTCTACACGGTTCGTTAAGCTGCTAGTTAAATTAAAACGTGCGTACAAATCGTATCGGTGACATTTGTACCCGCAAGAATTCAAGTTTTCATCGACGACGTTACACGTGGTCTCCTTGCGAACCACGAAGAGTGCACTTCTTCGTATATACCTTTGAGAAAATTATATATCATTCTATAAATTAACCCCTAACTGTTCCCACATAATCAAGCATAAATTGCCAATTACATGTATCGATAATCTAAATATCCTATCACCTTTTTGTTCGATCGTTTAAATAATATTTACAAGGGTTAAATATATACAATTTGAAGGATCGTTAAAAGGGAATTTGCACGAGATGTCCACCTTACAGGTGTTCTTTTACAAAGTAACTAAGCTCGTGCAAGGAACGTGTTCATTTTGGTTCCATACACCTCCACTTTAATGAAGGTATCAAATTAGCTATTATATTCTGAACAATTATAATTATAGCATGCATTCAATTGCTTTAACAAAGAGGAGAACGATGATATACAAAGAATGCACTCGGTGATTCTCTTTCGATTCATAAAATAAAAGGGAAAAAAAACCACCCTTTCAGGGATTTCATAGTTGCCATACAGTCCTTATTTCATAGAAATCTTAAATAAATCTCGGTAAGGCAGTGCCAGCTCGGTGGTACATGTACGGTGGAGGAGGCGGTCCGGAGTAGTGCCTCTGATGTGGATGAGGAAGCGAAGACCTATGGGAACCCATGGTACCGCTCGACGGTGAAACATGCTGCAGAAGATGGGACGTACCATCGCCCAGGTCTAACTCTAACTCTTGTTCCTCTATCAATTGCAAAGCCCCGAACGAAGCTGTCGCCATCGCCACATCCGGCATCACGCCTGACAATTGTCCATCGCTACATGAATTATTTTCTTGTTGCTGAAACATGGAGTGACGTTGCGTTTTATTTAAAATTATACGATAAACAAATGGTCTATGGTGAACGAGTATCCAATCGAGTGCTTCCAATTCCTGATGAAATTAAAATAATTGTAGCTGCTGATGTGAAATAAGCCTGTGCATTGATATCTGCACCTACTGCAAACGTATGGTGTGCTCGTGTAATAATTTGCATCGAATCACTGATCAATTCTATCTGATTACAAAGTAGGTCAATAGAATTGAGATTAGTTGACTGAGGGGTGAATCAAGTGTTCTCTCTGCTCTCTGATTTAGAACATCGGTTGAACATGTCAGAAATTAAATTTATAAAGATAGGAAATTATTTGAATTACTCTCAAATGACAGATTAGCGGTGGGGTTTTTCAGGGTTCTCCTACCTCAGCGAGAAGCCTACAGCTTTCACCCTCGGTCACTATGGCCGGAAGCTCGTGTCTGTGGGCACAGGACGAGGCTGGCC